AAGACAAAGGCTTAGAAATTGAAATGTCTGGTGAAGCTTTTTAGAGGAGGTAGGATTAGTTGAGCCTGAAGGTTTAGACAGGATTTGGATTTAGACAGGATTTTAGATAGAACACATTCCCTAGACAACAGGGAGAATCACATCCTTGAAGGATGTTGGAATGCATGGTGAGTATACATTGTCTGCCCTCTATACCTTGCCTTTGCACATAGAGGAGCACACAAACATGCCAAATTAGCAAACTACTCCAAGAAAGACAGGTACTTTCAAGTGAACAGACGTTCAAACTCTCTTCATCTTGCTCTTACCCCCAAATGGCAGGTCCATGGTACAACACATTCTTGTTATTTTGTGATATAATCACAAATGTGGAAAGAGCACACTGCATGCTCCATATCAGATCACAGCAGTGGGCTGCCCACATTCAAAAAGGAAGATGGGGCAACACAATCTGTAAGGATAACTGAGGCTCCCAGTGGAGCTAAGAATTGCCTTGATGTCCAGGAGCATTTCCACCCTTTTGGGAAATCCTTCTAAGCCCCTGCCTCGCTGGTTTCCTGGTACAAGGTCTAATAAATCTGAACACTTGGCTGAAACTTAGTGCCAGGCCTCATAATGGAATGATTACATGTGCTTTGTGTGTCAGAGACCTGACAGAAAGATTATACAGCACAGTGAAGCAATCTTTGGGGTTTTGGCAGGGGAAGAAGGAGATAAATATGTGTCCAGGGGAGAAAAAAATGGCAGTCTATGGAATGTCACTCAGTCATTCAGCAAAAAACATATTAAGTTTAGGTCAACAAACATTTATCAAGGGCTTCTGCTATGACAGGCATTGTGCTAGGCACAGTGAGTACCGAGGCACGTGAGACACATCATTTATCCTCGGTGCCTACAGGGAAGCCCACTAGAAAAGACGGTCACATAAGGGATGGTCTCAACATAATTTGGCAAGTGCAATGATAGGGTTTGTGACAGAGGACAATGGTGGTACAGAAGAAGGACACTTGGCTCAGCCTTGTGTCTCAGAAGAGGCTTAAGAAGAATGATGTAGAGGAACATTTAGGGTCGATGGGGAGAAGTGAACTCAAAGATGAGAAATAACATGAGCAATGTAAAGAAGTAGAAAATGTCCTGGCTTGAGTGAGCTTGGGTGGTAGAGAAGGGAAAAGGAGAGCATGGGTGTGAACTCGATGGAGCTTGGACACAAGTGAAAAAGAACACTGATGCATTCTGAGAGGTATTCAAAGGATAAATGTGTCTATAAAGGACACTGTTAACTAGTTAAAGTCAGGATGCCTTCAAAGGGACTATAATATAAAATCTTCTTTTGAAGACACCTAAGTCCAATCGATAAGTGACAGGTGTCAAAATGAGATGGGGTAATACTCAACGTGGCTTGGAGGTGAGAGGGGTAGAAGCCAGCTTGTGACAGAGGCAAGTGATGCTTGAGCAGAAGTGGGCCCAGTGTGAGAAACTAAGAGAAGCACAGAGTATTCTGTCAGTCAAAGAGAACTTCTTGATCAATGGCTCAGTGAGGCTCCGGTCACTTTCAGATTGCATAGGAGCTAAGACTAACCATGTTATAAAAATCATTTTAAAATATTTTAAAATATTATAACAATGTTCAAACTGGTGTCTTCGTACATGAGGTATTCTAGATTGGAGAGGAGATGTATTTCCTTCAAAGGTCCATCTGGGACAGGAACATGAATGCAGTAGTCACACACTGGCTGACTGCAAAATTACAAGGAAGATGTGATAGGCAATGTTCATGGAACCCCAGCAGCAAGCCACAGTCAAGGACCAGCCCTTAAAAAAGGGAGAGAAAACAAGTGTGGCTCTGAATCCAAGAGAAACTATAGAAACCTACAACAAGAAGCCTAGCCACTTTCACATCGAAGTTCAATGCAACACCATTCACCATTCACACCAGCTACGTGTGGAACCAACTTAGATGTCCAACAACAGAGAATGGAGAAAGAAAAGATAACTTTTATATACAATGGAAAATTCCTCAGCCATAAAGAAGAGCAGAGCCATGTCATTTACAGAAAAGTGGATGTGACTGGGGATAATTACATTAAGTGAATTAAACCAGAGTCGGTAAGACAAATATTGTATGTGTTCTCTTATATGTGGTTCCTAAGCTTCATATACATATATGAAGTCATATATTTATATACATATATGTCATATGTATGTGTAATTATATATGACATAAAAGTAGAAATAAAATTGGAAGAGAAGAGGACAAAGGGAGTAGGGGAGAAGGGAGAGGGTCCAAAAGCATGGAGAATTGTGTTCAGTGTCTTTGGAAAAGCCTTTCTGAAACCCAGTGCCCATTTATAATGGAAATATTCAGTGAAAACTAAAATTTAAAAAAGAAAACAATACAATTGAACATGTGTATGAAAATGTCACAATGACACCCACTATGTTCTAGGCCAACAGCTAATTTAAAATATGTAAAAAAGAAGCCTACTACATGCAGGCACATAAAGTTCTGCTTCCATATTCTATTGATTGGGGGCAATATACCTCGAGTGGCTTTACAATTGATCATCAAAATCAGGACAGTTTTGTCTGGGACAAATGTTAAATTACACAAGAAGCCAGGAAAACAAGGGTGAATGAGGACAATCACAGCAAACTGGGACATACAGTCCCTGTGACAGTCATGATCTTGCCAGGAAAACAAGCCACACTGGGCATCTCAACAGAGAGAGACTGATCTATAAAATGGCATGATCAGATGATAGAGTCATAGCACTGGGAGGGGGAGTGGGGCAGGGACAACAATGTCAGAGTTAGAGAACAAAGGTGTGGCTTGGTGTTATCAGAACCTAAAAGTGCAGAAGGTAGATACTGCAGAAAGAATTAGACTAAGTCTTGTGGGGAGCGGAGGCTTTCAGAGCTTAGAGTAAGAAGTCTATAGTGTCTGGGACAAGACATTGCCCACTAAGTGACAGTGATATAATGGGGCAAAGGAAGAAATCAAAGACTAGAGCTTGTTGATGCTGTGTAAAGGCCTGTTGCTATAGCAACATGGACAGAAATGGGAGAAAACTGCCTGTTAGTCTCCTCCTCATGCCCTTCTCCTGCATGTCTAAGAGTTTTCAGGACTCCAGTAATCAGAGAGCATAACTGAACAGTCTTGGTGTGTGTGTGTGTGTGTGTGTGTATACAATATTTATCATGTATATACATATACACACATATATATATATCATATATATCAGACACACACACAGACACACACACACACACACACACACACACACACACATATATATATTATAGCATCAGCCTTGGAAACAGTCCTGAATTTGAGAATAGATTCCTCCCTAACACTGTTTGATTGAAGAGGTGAAGAAACCAGCATTGGAAGAAGCAGTTAATCTCTTTATGCCAAAGACTACAAATGCTGGCACATCAATCACAACAAAACCATAGGACATGTCCACTTCCCATTTTACAGATGGAAAATGAAAGTTGCAAGTGATTTAGCAGCTTGTCCAAGACAAAGCTGCAGGAAAAAAAAAACAAAGTTGGATGAGAAGCTGTCCTACAATATCTCAAAGCCCAGTGTTTTCTACCACTTGTTGGTCTATAGGGAGGAACTTGCTTCATCACATACAGAGGCGCTGGACAGTAACTGTGTCTGGGCTAATCATGGAAGTCCAGAGCCAATGACTGCTGCTGACTAGTGGTCTCTTAAAGTGAACACTCAGGTCTAGGAAGACATCCGTCCTTTGTTTCCAGGCAGTCAGGATCAACACCTAATGATTTATTCCTATTGGAAATGGCTTCACTGACGGAACCAGGACGTAGTCTGAATGAGCTCGCTTTCTCTCTCTCTCTCTCTCTCTCTCTCTCT